TGATGATGAACAAATTTGTGGCCAAATATTCAACAAAACCCTCGACCGGCTACCGCATTTACTTGATATGGCTTTGGCCGATTTTTTTTCTTTTGCGAAACACTACTAATTTCAGCCGAAAGAAGGCATAAAACAGCTGAAGTTAATTTCGGGAAAAGCGCTTGAAAATGTATTAATTTTTTGTTATTGGAAACTGAAAAAAAATTCTATGATTTCCCATGATTAATGATTTTGAAGGAATAACTTCCATAGAAAGACATTCCTCTTCAGCCCTTCATAATCAAAAAACAATCTATATGAAAATTTTCCATTCAGTATCCAATAAAATTATGGAAAATTTTTGTATCGAAATTTCAAAACACTCGGCTGGATATTGGCATAACTTAAGACCAGAAAGTTTCAGGCAATGAATTCACTCCAACGGGATAGATGATCAATAAAGCGTATTATTCCAGCGTTTTGAGGCGCAAACGGCCAAAATTGTGGGCCAACAATTTCCGGAAACTTTCATGACGAAAATGCGCCATCACAGCGAGCTGTAGTTGTGAACGGTTTTAAGACCAAAAACTCTATCAAAATCCAACGATCAACCAGCGTATTCACCGGATTTGTTTGCAAAACTCAAGTTACCACTCCGTGGAAAGCGTTTCGATTCGATTCAGGCCGTAAAAGAAAATTCACAGAGGGCACTGAGGTCGACTGATTTCAACAGCTGCTGCAATCTAAGAGGTTTGACTGATCGTGCACATTTTTGGCATAGTAACTAAGAACAGTGCTACCAACTTAACAAGAAAAGTGCTGAAAAATATGCAACGCTGGCAGTTTATATGACAATTTCCGGAAACTTTATGGTCTTAATGTATCATATATACATATATACATTACACAAATTAAGACCTAATCTCAAATTTATTTTATTGCTTAAGACACCATTTAGATTTTTATGGTATTTGTTACAACAAATAAATTTTTATATTTTATAGCTCAACTAAATGGTTAAGACTCAGACTTCGCCGACTTTTTATATGCTGATTATGACTCCTCATTTTAAATTCAATTAAACAAACTCATCACACACACGAGTAAATTTTAAAAATAAATAATAATAATTATAATTTATAGCTCATAGTCCAAAGCTGAGTAGATAAGCAAATAAATTCAAAAAAAAAAATAATTCATTATTTCCAAGCAAAAACTAAGCCATTATTTTTGCATTCGATTGAGGGCTCTATTTACCATAGTTAAAATTATCCGATTTATGTCAAATATTTCAAAATAATCAAATATACATACATATATGTAATACTTGATAAACTTTTGCCCTTAATAGCACACATGCCTCTCTCATAGAAACCTTTGTTATTAAAATCGATTTCAACAGGCTTTCCTAAGGCCAATTTTTCACCATTCAAATCATTCGCCATAGACAGTAATATATGGTAATAACTTGGTACGAGCTCTGAACTATAAGGTGAATGAATCAGAACCTCGCAAACAAGCTTTCGGAGCTTGTGGTGAGTAACTATCGTTATGAGTGGTCTGGCATTGTTCTGATGACGCACAATTCCCCTACATTGACCAAAGCTGGGCCTTTTTGCGCGCTTGCAGCCTTCAGATGGTTCAATTGTTGACATTACAGGTACGAATAAGAGTTTGGAGGTCGGGCAGCAGCTCATGGTGTATGATTACTTGCTTAATGTCTTACCCGAGATAGTGACGAAGGCATTCCGAGTGATGGAACTTAGAGCGCACTTTGTGAAGCTCGAAAAATATCTCTAAGAGAACAGGGTAAACTTCGCTGAATTAGCTGGTGCACTTAAAATCAGGTATGCCAAAAAATACAATCCACATGGTAGAGTGCCGTCTCTACTAATGTGGTATCGTGCAGTTAACACATTTCTTGGCCAACTAGAAAGCACAGGTTGTGCGGTAGCAGCATTTCGCTTATCGACAACGCCTTCATAGCGACTAGAAGACACCTTTAAAATTGAAGTGATTTACTCCATAATGTCTTTGATATAGTAAGCAGTTGGTGAAAAGATTGGGGTCTGAATGTAAATTGCTCAGAGAACGATATACTCCACCAGAAGGCACATGCCATTTGCTCTTAAACCGTCCTTACTCAAGAGGTCAAGTCACTAGATATAATCTATGGCCACGTAATGTGTTTGCAAGGCAGCGAAACGTAAAAATTGACTGTCCATGTTCTACGGAGTCACTGCCTGGTGGCCGGCACTGGACAAAGCCGCTTACTAGAGCAAAAGCACTGTTTCCATTCACTGTCCTTAACTTCGACGAAAGCTCTTCTAAATCTCGAATCTTCTCCCGTCCACAGCAATAATGGAAACCACTTCATGCTTACTGAACTCTAAAATGTACAATATATTCTGATAGCCGTAAAGACTCTACAATGTAATCTCATCTCCCCGAAGGTGGCAACAATTTGCAGGGAAAAGTCCGTGGTTTCGATGCCCGAACATAGAGACATAACAGAACATTGTGAGGAAGAAGAGCTAGCAAAATGGGAAACAGTACTAACCACGATTTGGACAAACCGCTTTCCTATGTAAAACACCGGATAAGATCGTCCTTCACCAGACAAGGACTCTCATTGAAACCGGAAAAATATGAAATCTGTCTCTACTAAAAAGATGAAAGTTCATCAATTCAACCCATCAACTTTAAGTGGTAACATTTTAATCCCCACTCATCCTTGGCATTAGGCTTTTAACAAACAAGTGATGTATGAAGCAACGCTAACAGCCAGCCGCCTAGATGTTCTAGGCAGTTGGATCGAGTCCCAAAATAGTGAAGAACATGGTGGTGTTCAGAAAATTATATCAGAACTCGGGCTAAACGTAAAATGCCACCTACTTCTTCCCTAGCAGGGAAAACTGGACGGAAGGCTGACACTACAGCAGGCTTCTCTATGACTACACCCGGTTATTGGCATCTAACTCAATGACTACAACTTCCAGGCAGTGAATGTGAGCAATAGACAAGCTGCCAAACGGGCTTTCAACCAACTTAGTGTGTTTCTCTGTCGCTCGAAAACTATCGATACAATGATATTGGGAGCCCACGTCAGGTTATAGACATTTTCAAGGATTTTTTATTTACGCTATAAATAGCCATAACCTAAATACTGATCAGCAAGCGAGTATAACACGAGTTTAATCAAATTTTTTACTATACATGTATATAAGTACAGTGAGTTCAAAAAGTGTTCACATCATGAAAATTTTACTTTTCTCATTGAATTTCAAGCAAATGGGCTTTTAGTTAGAGCGGTTGCACAAAAATATAAAATTTCAATTGGTGTAATAAGTAAAATATAAAAGCAAGACAAAATTAACACACCACCCAAAAAATTGTGCAGTTCCAAAAAGCCCACTCCTGAAGCAATATTGTTCACATGTATTGCATTACAAGGTGCGTTCCAAAATAAACAGGACTTTTTGAATTTAGCGCTCTCTAGGGGCCGTTAGAATCTGCTATCCTTTATCGACTTTCAGAGAAAATTTCATGACATTTCATCAATTGGAAGTGAAGTTATTGCGTTTTAAGTGCCAGTAAATTGCTGTCATTGGTGCGAAAAAGAGCATCGAACAAAAATTGGTCATAATTCAACATTCGAAGGAACTTCCTTTACAAGATTGGGACTGATGACGAAACGTGATGTTTGTAATGTGATCGCCAGAGTGCTAAATGGAATTCGCCGGACCCGAAAAATTCGCGTCTGGAGAAGTCAAAAGTGAAGAGAAAGCTGATTTATTTTTATGATGCCAAGGGTATTGTCCACAAAGAATTTATTCCACCCGGCCAAAACGTTAATGCGGTATTCTACCTTGGAGTTTTGAAGCGTTTGGTACGCCACTTTCGACGTGTTCGGCCCGAATATTGCGAAGATGGAAGTTAACGCTTGGTGCACGATAATGCGCCGTTTCATCGATCGACGCTTGTGGCCGATTATTTGACCGAAAATCACATTTTAACAATCAACCACACTCCGTATTCACCTGATATGGCATCGTGCGACTTCTACCTTTTCGGAAATATGCTTTTGCCTATGAAAGGAAAGCGTTGTGGTGACGTGGAGGCCATTCAAAAGGCTTGCACCGGCATACTGGCGGCCATACCGGGCAACACTCGTTCGACATGCTTTTGGACCGTGCAAAAAGCTGTTTTAAAGTAAAAGGAGACTATTTTGAATAAAATTAATTGATTTTGTCGATAAAACCATTTGTTCTGTCTTTTTTTTTAAGTCCTGCCTATTTCAGATTTTTAAATGAAATAATTGCTTCTGTTAAAAAGCTTTTAATAATTAAATACACTTTACTTTTCGTGAAAAAAAAATGTTTATTTTTCTAGAGAGCAGCTGTAATGCGGTATTTTTCACTATACGTGAACATTTTTTGAACTCACTGTAAATCTGTGCGTATTGTGTATGTGTGTTAGTGCCTAATCGTCAACGCTGCCAACTGATGGGCAAATAAATCTTGTAGACGTGAATTCATTTCAACGCCTGACGTATTGTATTAGCGCTTATCAGTTGAATTACATACAAACATATATACGAGTATGTATGTATATACGGATTTTATTATATTACTAAGCTTCAAGTAATTGTTGTTATTAAATAAGATTATACAGTCTAAATAATAATTTTAATTAATTACACATTTATATTTCGCTTTATTTCATATTCTTCTTCCATTCGCTTTAATTGCAGTCATTCGTTTCATCGTCGTCGCTGTCGCCCTCGTCGTCATCCGCGCTGTTTCCGTGTAAAAAACTTGCATGTGCCTGTGTGTGTACGAGTATATGCGTGTGTGTGTGTGCGAGCGTTTATCGTAAGCGTTCGTTGAACGCTTCAAGCCAATAAACTCGCGTGCAATATTCTACAAGCGTTAGCAGCTGTAACAGTAACAACAACAACAGCAACAGCAACAACGAAACGCACGGTCAGCGTTAAAAAAAAAACATAACGAAGAAAAAATATCAAGTAAACCAAAAGCAGAGCAAAAAATAAACAAACTCAAATATGGTGCAACAACAACGACTCGCCATTTCAATACCAAATATTACCAATCGCATGCCGTCCATGTCCTCAGCCGGCGTCAGTACACCCGGTTCCGTATCGTCAACCACCTCATCCACCTACAATGCCAGCCTAACAACGTCAATGGACTCACCGGCAGCGGAAGTGAACAGCGCCGATATTGGTTTATTCGTGGAGACGCCACTGCTAGAGCTGAGCGCCAATACACGCCTACAGTTGTCACAGCTATTGAATTGTCGTAAGATTCTGCGTTCCGAAGATGGTTATGAGCGTGATTGGCGCGGCGTGGCCGAGTTGGCTGAGGTGCGCAGCTTATGTAATAGCAGTAATGATGATCCCATGCGCACGGTGTTGCGTGAATGGTGTTCCCATCGACCGCAGACCGCGACTTTTGCCCGTTTGCAACAGTTTCTGGGCATCATCGATCGTTGGGATGTCAGCGATGACATTTACGAGAATATGGGTGAGTCATAGAGTAATAATAATAATAATAATGACAGCCTACCTACTGGTTTGCATGCGCTTGTGTGGATCCCTTGGGCACGTGTGCTATATTTAAATCATGCTAATTATATTCTCTCCCTCTGCGCTGTTTACTCGCCATTGTATGTTCGGTGTCTTCATTATTTCATATTCTGTCATGTCTGCAAATATGTACATAAATATTTTGCAATGCTGATGTAATGAGAAACGAAAACGAATTCCGGTATTCTAGCAAAAAAAAAAAAAGAAAATTGAAAAAATTAAAAAAATCTTGATCAGCAAAAATGCGAGTGAAAGCCGCGTGTTGTTATAACCTTTTTTATTGTACGCTTGTGGTTAATGACCACGTGTTAGCGCCAAATACACACACACAAGTACATAGGTAGCGAATTATGCGCAAGGTTTGGACAATCACTTGGTCGTGGTGACCGTAATGAACTGTCGCCCAACTCATCGATTCGCCCGCTCGAGCAATCACTCTTCCAATGCATGATGAGGTGTAAAATATCATGGCAGTTGCTTGTGGATCTCATGAAATTTCTTATATGTAAATATATAACTGGCAAAGTTCGGCCGAGCTCCACTTCCAATTTTTGGTTTTGCGTCTTGATGTTTTTCCAACTAAGCCGCCTCCGAACGGCTGATGGTTTTTTATAAGGAGCCTTTATTTCATGTCAGAAATACACTCAGAGGGGTTGGCATTCTCCGGATTTCATGCTGGACAGAGAATTAAACTGGTCACAGATCGCGGAGTTTAGAATACGTAAGGGTTCTCTAAACCTGCAAAGATGTGATAGGCCGGATATGAGGAATGTCACTCGAGAAAAAAATCAATCATCTCCCAAGCTCGATAGTGGACTATCAGAGGACAGTGCTATTATCCATCAAACAAATTTATATGGGTGTAAAATCCCTGCCTGCGCCGCGGTAAGACTGCAAAAGATGTATAAATGAATAATAACAAATCTCGTATAGCCAGGCCACATCACGAGCACTGGAATCTGTAACATTAAAATCGAAAATCGTAGACAGTTGCCACAGCTCACTTAACGTGATGGCTAAGTAGTTCTCTGTAAACCAAGTATGGATACCTGGACATAGTACAATATCGGGGAATGAGATGGCGAACGAGCTTGTAAGGAAGAGCATCTCGATACCACTTTCGCCATCATGAAAGGTCTTGGGCATACCGCACGTGACCTTATCAAGCTAAAAATAAAGGATGTATCTATAGTAATAGATCTTCTTATAGGATAGGCGTACCATCTAACGATTTCTGCAGAAGCTGCAGACAAAAAGGGGAACCTTCTTCCTTTGCGATTCGACCGCACCTTAGAGTGACGGGTTAAAGTCTCTAGGGGCGACAACCTTTAGAGACTTGAACGAAATAGCGTAGACTAAGAGCGGCTGGTGGCCATTAGGATCCTCGGCGCTATCACAATAGCCCCTTTTGGTGGGCTAAATTAGCCGATACCCCCGGTAACCACTTCAACCAACCAACCTATAGGAACAAAATAGTACAATACTCGGTTCGACTTCGCTGATTTCGAGTTCATTTTTATAAAATCATGTGATCTAGATGGTGGTTATAGTATATTTAAATGAAGAACTGAAAGAAACAATAACCAAACCATTTTAGGTTAGGTATAGAACCATGCTTACTTCATCTTAACTTTTTATGGTGTTAGAAACCTACACCAATTAGAGCTCATTTGCGTGTAATCAAGGTTCTCAACCCTCAAATTACATACGCGAGCATACACGTAAGCTTACTAAAAAATTTCCTGTACAACGTTGCCAATTTTCCGCAACGAAAATCTTTGCCTAACGCTGCTGAGTACAAAATTTAAAAAAAAAAAAAAAAAAAAAAAAATTCCAACTGCGCTTGTATGTATGTATGTATTTAGCATTACAAAACAATGCACAGATCAAAGTCGCCTTCAAACATGCGATATTTAGCATATACATACATATATACATATATTATATATACATATATATATATTGAAAGTTCTTGAATTCAAATACTCGATAGTTTCACTTTTCTTGTACACACACACACAGAAAACACATGAGTCACCACCGCAATGTGAGAAAGTGCCTATTAAGAGCATTGCATACTGCCTTCATATTTATATCAGCGCATTACAAAATTTCAAGGATCATTGAATTAATTAGCCAATTTAAAATGTGCTCAAATGTTGAACGCCGCACTTTTATTTCCAGCAAACGTCATCATGCACTCGTATGCCTCTATGCCTGTATGTACGTCTATGTTTGTATGTATGTATGTAAAGGCTGTTGCTGGTACAATTACACTTTAACACGCCCAAATTGACTGACGAATATATTTTTCTTCGAAAGAAATATGAAATGACAGAATTAAATTACTTGAAATTGCATACAACGGCACAGGTTGTTTAAGGGTCGAATCTTAACCCTTACATGGCAGGTGGGGTATTTTTGAAACAATTTTTGAGAAAAGAATTTTTGCATAATTTTTATATTTAATTTTTAATTCGCAAAAAATATGCATATAATGTTTATTAAAGAAGTTTTTCGCATAAAAAAATTTATACAAAAAAAAAATACAACAAGATTGAAAACAAAAATGACTACAGTATTGAACGAGTGAATAAATGTATGCATGTATAATATACAATAAACTTCTCACTCCATATAAAGTGACAAAGGCATTGTAAATCGCTGGTCAAAAGAGTTTAAAGATTCTTATATTAGCAAAGCTTTGTAAGTGAGGCTTCTACAGGCATAGGGCTCTGTAATTTAGAACCCAATGTATCAAATCTATGTACTCTGTTTGCATAGCATTCATTTACAAAAAAATTTATATTTTGCCTTGAGGAATTCACCTTGGGACTGACTCTAAATACAAACTTCCTTCTCATACTAGTCGTCTGAAAGTACTCTCCACTCTACTCTTCCACTGCTGCTCATTGTAGGAAAATGTAATTTGTGTTATTTTCCATTTTAAAATAATAACAGTTTCAATTTCTAGTTCACTTCTTCTTTCTGAAATCCAGTTTAATGTTAGAATGTCCATACATTTTGTGCCATGTTTTCGAAAACTTACAAAGAGATTTTGTATTTCAAGAAGCCTTGCACAGTGTGTGTCTGGAATACAACTCTAAGTCTAACCCATTTGACATATCTCACATTAAGAAAACAAATTTTTTGTCGAATCTCAATTAGTTATTAAATTGCGTTTTATACTTGAATTAGGTAAGTTTTAAAAATCTGCTAAGGAATTTTTGTTACTGTATCAGAACTCGGTATCAGTAAGGCAGAGAAAAGGTTGCCTACGTCATGGAGACTACACTGCGCCCCTTGCGCGGATGAGGTCATAACGTCTGAAATTGTTTGGCTAAAAATTAATATTTGTTAAATAAATAAAATTAATTTTTTATTTACGCTACAATTTTTATATTAAAAGTAAATTTCTTTGACTGTATTTATTTTTTTTATTTTAATTCATTTATGGGGATTTTTTAAACTCACTTTTTTCTCTATTTATTTCTTAAAATATTTTTTTTTTTGCACATATTAGTTCGAGTAAAAAGTAATTCATTATTTTTAATCAAATTGATGGCTTTATTTAGCATAGCTACAATTATTATATTGAATATTTGGATTGAAAACAGTAGTGCATTGAGATATAATATTTTCTTGCTTCATTTTGCTCGATAACTTTTTACCATTTTCAAAGTATGCTATTATTCCCTTATCCTAAAAATCTTTGGCTCTACTGGAACAATAGATTTTAGGCTTATCTTAAGGTCAGTTCTTCACCAGCCAAATCATGCGCCTAAGACCTACGGTAATCTTTTGGTGCGCTGTCTGGACTATAAGGTGGCTGCATGTAAACCTGCAAACCAAGTTCTCGGAGCTACTGACTGGCGCATCACTATCGATGTGAGTGGCGTGGCGTTGTTCTGTTGCAGCTCAACCCCGCTTCTGTTGGCCAAAGCAGGAAGCTTCTGGGCGATTACTTCTTTCAGACCATCCAATTGCTAACAATATTGGGTGAAATTAAGATTTCGGAGCTTTGAAGAGCAGCTTGTAGTGTATGATGCCTTGCAAAACCCACCAAATCCAACTAAACAGAAACTTCCTGGCGGTCAATTTTGGCTTGGGGGACGTTTGTGCCGGCTCACTGTCCTTCGACCATGAAAGCCTTACTTTGATGTTGCTCTAAGTGATCACCAGTCATCACCCGCGATTCGCTGGATTCGATTCATGCGGTTTTTTCTCGCTAACTCATGTGTACCCATACCTCGAGCTTTTTGCGTATCCAGTCTTTTTCAAGTTATTCCAAACTGATTTTTATGCAATATTTAGCTCAAGCGTTATGAAAATAGTGCTCGCATGACGGCCAAAGTCGTCAATTTCACTTATTTCAAAGACATTTTCGGCAATTGGCCTTCCATACCAGACTCTGTGGAGTATCTGTGACATAAAAATTACCAGTACAAAATTGACGAAATCAAAATTGTGCATAACTGGCTGTTGCAGTAGCTGGTTCACAAGCACTACTCACACTTTCAGCTGTCGGACTTGCCTTTTTGCCTTTATCGACGAAAAATCGTGAAATCTCGCGTATTTTCTCTTTTGGCATGCGCTCAAACACAACTGAGTTAAGTGATCAACACTGATCTCAATATCATTTTTAGTACGAATTCTGAGCTTTCTAACGCCATTTAGAGTAATCATATGGCACTTTTAGAATGTGAGATATAGATTTTTAATAAATAATGGATTACTTTTTACTAGAGCAATTTATATTAATTTTTTTAGATTTTATTCTTTTCGAATTTACTTATTTACTTATATACTTTTTTGCAATATGTATTCATTTTTTTAGTTTAATTTGTTTGTGATTTACATTTAAATTTTTGTATTTATTTATTTTTAAATTTTTTTTATTTTTAATATTTCTGTTACCTCAACATATTCACCGCGCCT